ATATAAATGGATAGTAGCATCTTTATCTTCAAATATACCCGCACAAACAAGACATTCAGTAGAAAGAGGACAACAACACATACAATAGCAAAACAAATCTTACCATAACTACACTCATTGCTAAATGTGTCCTCATCCAGGATAGTTGTCACTCCCACAGGACCCGTTCAATCTCACATAACAGGCAGCATTTTTAATGATCAATGGTCATTAATTAAACCTAGTCATCCACGAAGACCTGTTTTCTTTGGATGGAATGCGAAGAAAACACTAAATAACTAGGCATTAGACCACATGTCACGAACAATTTGAAAGAGGATGCCTTGGCGGGACCATTCAAATATTCAAACTTTGGGACTTAGCTTTTACCACTGTAAAACCTCACATCATAATACACAAAGCCCAATATGAGCCATGTCCTTATCACGGGTTGACCAGAGCCAAATGTTTTCTTAAATTTATTAAGATGAGCCATGAAGGTCCTTATGAACAATGAATTGTGTCTGTAGCCACAATGGAGCTGATTTCAGTGATCGGCTTGGTTGGAATGGATTAGAAGGTTATCTTGATTCACATTTTTAGAACTAGAATTCTTATCTCAAACTAGAACGGTGAGGAGAAGTTGAGACGGATAAAAGTTGAGGCATTGGTGGTCATGGAATTTCTTCTTCTTCTTCTTCTTCTTCTTCTTTTTGCCATTAATTCTTTCAATGGATATCATGAGCTGCTTCTTCATTAACAAATTTTAAAGGAGGGAGTATGGAACGCTGTTTGTACTATCTTGTTTAGTTTTCATTAGGGGTGGAAATAGACTAGGCCCTTATCAAGGGGCCTATTGCCTCGCTTGGTTAAGGCCTAGCTTGTTTATTAAAAAGGCCAAGCCAAGGCCTATTTAAAAGCCTCATTATGTAAATAGGCCAATCTTATTTTGTTAAAGCTTGGCCTGTAAGCCTTTAGGCCTGGCCTGTTAGGCATAAAGAGTATAATTATATTTATATTTTTTTTCTTATCTTTTAATTTATAGATATAATTATAATTAGTGAATTACAATACTACCCTTGTCCATTTGAATTGTGATGACTCCCTTTTGGTTTATTATGAAAATTCAACCTAAACTTGAAACCTAATCGTTAGTCTGTCACTTCATGCTCTACTTAGTCACCGTCTTGCAGATGTAAAGTGCTTTTTGCAATTTTCTTATCGTCAATCTATCGCTATAACTATTATTTTCTCTCTCCATTGTGATAGGTAACTCTTGTGCTTCAAGTAACTTTTCTATTTTCTAGTAAGCATTCCAAGTCTCTTTGTCAATCTTTCTTTGTTGACGATTATATAACAAAAATTGACTAGAACTTCGTTCTACATGTTTTGAATATATAATATATTGTGATGATTAGAGACAAACCCATTAGAGAAAGCAAAAAGTAGAAAGTGGTCGCCTTGAGAGTTGTCTTTTCAAGGTTTTATTATATTGGCATATATGGTCTATCTTTATAATTTGGTCTGCTTTATTTGAAACTTGTTTTTTTTGTTGATTATTTTATTTGAATGATGACAAACCAAAAAATTGAAAGTGGTCCCCTACTTCTCTTAGAGTTGCTTTTTCAAAGTTCTCTTATATTAGCACACCGTCTTTCTTCTATTTTGATTTATGTTATTTAGAATTTATTTACATTTTGATTATTTTATTTGATTAAAGAGTACCTGTTGGAACTTTTTTCCCCATACACAGAATGTGTTTTCTTGACATAGAGAGTGGCAATGATAAAGCCTCTTATTTGTTAGTAGAACACTTGAAATGGCACTATTTTAACAAACATATTATTTTTCATGCTTTTTTAAGTATTATAGCAACCTTGGTAATAATAAGGCCTCCTTAGGTGAGAAATAAAGCATGATTATGAATTTTTTATTTTTTTATTTTGATTATTTCTTTTATTTATTTGTTTATTTTATTAGAATATGATATTTTTATTATTTTTATATAGGATAAGTTCTTGAAATGTCCTTCTCAACCTCAAGGTGCCCAATCTGAACCACAAATTGGCAGACATTACATCTCTTTTAAGTAATGCAATAGAAAATAACAATTTTACCTCTCAACAACTAGCTACTATGGATGAAGAAACATCTGTTATCGCCAAGAAGGGCCAAAAACTTCAGAGGCTTGTATTGTAAAGAAAAGCTAGCTACTGGTGGAAGTGGAGCTAGTACTAGTCATCTCAAGACGCATTTAGAAAAATGCTTGCAATAGAAGCTGTTTATCTCTCAGCAAAATAAGCAAACTACCATATCATTTCACCAATCAAGTGAATCAGGACTTAATCCTTTTATTATTCCAGTAGTAAATACTCCAAGAAAAAGATGAGAGAAATCTTTGCTGTAGCCATCATGATGCATGAACGCACTTTTAATATGGCAGAAGATGAAGTTTTGATGTGAGCCTTTGAATATGCAAATCTAGAGTTTAGAAAAGTCAGCCATAAGACAACATGAAGTGATTGTCTCAAATTGTATGAGGTTGAAGAGAATACTTTGAAAAATATATTAAAGAATGTGAGCAAGGTTAGCATTACAACAGACATGTGGAAGCCAAGTCATCAAGTAGCTGAATAAATGGTTGGTACTAGCCACTTTGTTGATGCCATGTGGAATTTTCAAAGGAGTTTTGAGTTTTATCAAAGTGCCTGCTCCAAGATGAGGAGTAGATATAGCAAACATAATTTTTAAATGTTTGAGATCATAAGGTATTGAGAATAAAATATTCTCCATTTTTGTTGATAATGCCAGCTATAATGATTCTTGCTTGAGAAATTTGAAGGAAAATTTGCAACTGAGTAATAAGTTGGTTTTGGATAGACAACTATTTTATGTTAGATGTTGTGCACATATTTTAAATTTATTGGTACAAGATGGCCTAAATACCATTAAAGATATCATTTATAAAGCTCGTAAAAGTGTCAAATTTATAAATGCTTCAAATGCAAGGCTGAAATCTTTTTGTGAAGTTGTAGAGTTAAAGGGTTTGAAAGAAAGAAAAGTCATTCTTAATTGTCCTACAAGATGGAACTCTACATTCTTGATGTTGATAACATCAATGAAATTCAAGCATACCTTTTCAGCCTACAACGAAAAAGAACCACATTATACTTATGCACTGGATCCTAAGCATTGGGAAAAGATTGAGAAGGTTTGTCACCTTTTAGAAGTTTTCAATGATGCCACTCATGTTATTTCAAGTAGTGAATACCCCACTACTAATTTATATCTTGCTGAAGTTTATGGGATGAAACATGTGATTGATGAGGCAATAGAGTCTCCTGACATCTTCATGAATGAGATAGCAATACCTAAGAAAGAAAAATTTGACAAGTATTGGGGTGAATGCAATTTGTTGATGGCTATTGCAAGTATTTTGGACCCAAGAATCAAATTTGATGCTATTGAGATAAGTTTCCCCCTAATAAATAAACCAGAAAGTGAGGCTACACAAAATGTGTGGAAAAAGTAAAAAAGGCATTGGAGGAATTATATCTTGAGTATATGGAATTATGTAGAGAAGAGTTATCTTCTACATCTGGTGAAGTGAATATTGATGTCATTGCCTTCACAAATACTGCTGCACAACAAAAAGATAAATGAATGCAATGAATGTTGAACATGATTCGTCAAATGCATTCAGTTTCTCCTACAAAATCAGAGTTGGAAACTTATCTTGCTGATGATCCTTACATTCCTTCTTCTAATTCTTCATCATTTTGTGCCTTAGAGTGGTGGAAGAACAATAGTACAAAATTTAAAGTTTTATCCAAGATGGCCTCTGATATATTAGCTGTCCCTATCTCAACTATGGCATTAGAGTCCATATTTAGTGCTGGAGGAAGAGTGATTGATGAATTTTGTGCTAGATTGAACGAAGAATCTATTTAAATTTTTTATGTGGAGACGATTGGCTTCATCACAAATATGGGTTGAAAAGGAAATTAAAGGTATGAAAATAATGTAACATAATTTACTTTTAAATTTATATCATGTTAGTTGGATTTTGTGTTGTACTAATTATTTAATTTAAATTAATTTGTTTATTATGCAGGAGCCATCTGAACAAGAGGATATTGTATTGAGACCTTGATGCTGATGTTATTTGTTTAATTTTCATTTCATAGTCATACTGTTATCTTATAATATTTTGATATATTGTGTTATTCGCATTGAATTCTAGCGGGATTATTTTTTGTATTAAAAATTAGATTTTATTTTAATTATATGTAGGTTTTAAGCACGAGATGAGATCTTAATATTGATATTATTGTGTTATTCAATTTTTGCTTCATGCTCATGCTACTATTTTATAATATTTTGATATATTGTATTATCTATGTTAAATTCTGATAGTATTATTTGTTTGTAACAAAAATCATATTTTATTTTAATTATATATAGATTTTAAGTAGACTTTAAGCCTATTTAAAATATACCATTTGTAAATACGTAGGCTTTGAAGCCTCTCAAAAGCCTACGTACATGTTGGCCAATTTGTAAATATGTAGGCTTTGAAGCCTCCCAAAAGCCCATGTACATGTTAGTTTTAGTAGGCTCAAAGCCTACTTATGGACTTTAAAACCTAAAACATGAAGTTTTTCTAGATGCTTACATTGTAAGTAGGCCTTTAAAAAAGCTTCAAACTTGATCAGACCTTTGAAAGACTCAAACTTGAGCCTTAAAAAAAGCCTACGTTTAAGCTCAGGTTTAAACTCAGGCTTTAGGTTATTATTATAGGCTCAGCCCTATTCTATCAAAACTTGACCTTGCCTGACCTATTTTCGTGTCTAGTTTTCATGTAGCTAAACTGAGTTTTGGGTAGCTAACTGCGTTTTGGGCTTCGAAAACGCAGATCCAAACAAGCACGAATAATCTGTTTGGCCGAAAAAGGAAAACACGCACGAATAATCTCAAGTCCTTTGTGAGTTTGAGTCACAAGCCAACTTCCTCATTTTCGCCTTGTTGGGGTTACAGAGTCCGTACCTTGTGGTTACTGGAAATCGAGAAAGGAAGAGCCGGAGAGGGGGCTTCTGTGTAGGGTGTGATGACGACTCGAATAGCGCCCGGTGTAGGGGCAAACTTGCTGGGTCAACACTCCGCAGAGAGGAATCAAGATGCGACTGCTTATGTTGGCAATCTCGACCCCCAGGTTCTTATCTCCTTCCTCTTTCAGCCTCTTTAATACTTTCGGTCTTATCTGGTATAGCTCCTATTTATCTAATCTTACTTCGGCTGTCTCTTTTGGTAAGGAGGCTTAACTGAAGTTTTATCAGTGTTCAACTTTTATTTTTAAGCTGCTGTTAAGTGAACCATTCTTCTTTTGACACTTTGAAGCTGATTAAGATGGTTCGTCTTTGCAACTGAAATTATCTTTCTTGGAAATTTACTTTCACTGCCCACGAAGTGAACAACTAGGGTTTGTAGCAATGATATAGCAAGAGGACAAGAGTTGATTTCTAGCTTTATGAATGTTGGAATTCACAAATTTTGCGCAATCCTTAGAGATATGCTTTTCTAATGGGAAATACACAATTGTAGAACTGACTTTTCACACAGGGTTCATGTACTAATTTATGAACTAGCACGCCGATGTTCTACACTTATATTAGGGGCGATTGGGAGAACATTTGCATACTGGGAACTTTTACCTGTTCATATGTCTTGGCCACTTTAAAGTCATTTGCGAATGAACTAATGTTAATGAACCTTCCAGCAGTCCAGTTGAATAGGTCTTTGACCTCATACAGCTAAAACAATATTTTGTGACTTATTTTTCTTTTTCCTGAGAAGTTAGGCTTTGTACGTTCTCGCCTTTGTTATTTTGAAGCTTATATTATGTCTAGCTGCAATAAGTCAATGACTAACTGAATTTCTTCCACTCCTCTTGCCAGGTGTCCGAGGAGTTACTATGGGAGCTATTTGTTCAGGCAGGTCCAGTTGGTATGTTTGGTTTTCCCATGTATTATTCAATCATTCCATTTGTTATTGCTTCTAGTATGATATTGTTGTCCTTTGGATTGATACCATCAGTTTTCTGATTATTTTAGTTATATTACGTATGGTTATAAGATAGGTCTGCTGTTCATTTCTCTTGTCCCTTATGAAGTAAATTTCGTAATTTTGCTTACTCCTACCGAGGAAGTTTATTTCACCTAAACCTTCTGTAACATTAAATTGGATTCTATTATGTTGCAACCTAGCTGGTGTTCTACTGGCTATAAGATTGGCCCGCTGGTGTCCTTTTTTAAATTTTTGTAGAATATTTGAGATTCAATCTGTACCTTCTTTTCCTTTACTTTGTTTCAGTTAATGTCTATGTTCCCAAAGACAGAGTGACTAACCAACATCAAGGTTATGGTTTTGTTGAATTCCGGAGCGAAGAAGATGCTGACTATGTGAGTATTCTGAAGTACTATAATCTTGTCTTTGCTTGTTCAATGTGCAAGTTGCGACCACTCTTGTGCTACCTGCTGCTTTCAGTGTTTGGATATTTGTCATTATGTTCTTCCCATTTTACATTATTGCAGGCCATCAAGGTTCTTAATATGATTAAGCTTTATGGAAAACCAATACGTGTAAATAAGGTATTAGGCTCATTCTGTGACTGTCTCCTTTCTTTCCCTGTGCTTTGTGCTATATTTGAATCAGTTAGCATCATTGATCAATTGTTTTTCCTGTGTTTCTGCAATATGTTCTTGAAATGTATTAATGTGTGAATTTAAGAGAATATGGTGTCAAGAATGAAAACATGTAGTTTAAGAGAAGGCATTGAGATATCTCTCTCATTGTACTGGAAAACATATTTCAAAATACAGAAACATCGGTATTAGAGAATCCTGTCAGCCTAATGCTAAATACGTAGTCTGCAATGTAGAAATATGATGCACCTTCTTCAGTAGAAGTTATATTTTGAACACAATTTGGGCACAGACTGATGATAAACCTGCCTATTATGCCAAAAATGTATTCTATTGGTCAGAGCATAACAAATAAATTCAAGACTGGACACATTTCAGATGATATATAAGCACATGTATGACCTAGATTGAACACATTCTGGGTGCTTTAAGCAATCAATTTTACAAGTCGGTCATCTACGTAATGAAGACATAAAGTGCTGAAATCTCCATGTTATGCAGCATACAATTGACTAAATTTGTAGCTTAATTGCCCTTGCTGCTGTCTGATGTTTGCCTTTTATTTATTTTCCTGCATATTTACGTTCAAACTTTCTTTTTTTTTTTTTTTATTTGGCCAGGCATTCAAAGTCTCAAATGATGAATAATAATAATGATATAGTGGAGCGTTAACTTAAAAATTTTATTATGGATATTGTCACCTTAATCTGTTTATAGCTCTGAATTATCTTCATGGTATTTTTATTATTTATATAATGATCACTAATCTTATTATGACGATTTTCATGTCCTTGAAATAGTGTTCCCTTTCATATTTACATGTATCTTTGTTTGAAGCTTCGTCGTGCATATATCTAGTTGATTTAGCCTTTGACATTTTTCCTCCGTTTTTTTGTTTTCCCCCAATTTAGTGTTGTTCAATGTTGTTAAAGGCAAAAGGTGCACACAAAGTGCGAGGTGCATGGTGCTATCATCTGAAAATACTAATTTATAGACTGAAAATCATAGATAAATGTAAATTTACTTAACCTTCAAAATAAATACTATGACAAGTTGTGTCATATGAAGAAAACATTGATTAATGTTGCAGTCATCTAAATCATAAGCTATTACAAGACTGTTTTAATATTTGATCATATAAATTTCCATATCTTACCCCATATTTTATAAAAATAGCTGAACTTTAAATGGGTTCTCTATTATCATACAAGGTGCCCAAAGGCGAGCACTTGAGTAAACCCATCACCTCTGAGGGTGTTCTGTGCCTCGTCTCTGCACCTTGGGTGCAAAGGTTGGCACCTTTAACAACATCGGTTGAGTTTCTATGTGCCACTGTAGGAGTCATGCTGTGTTTGTATTCATGTCAAAATCCTTCTTGTGTAAGAGTATTGATTTAACATTTTCTGGCTCTAGGCTTCCCAAGACAAAAAGAGCTTGGATGTGGGAGCAAACCTTTTCATTGGAAACCTTGATCCTGTAAGTCTTATTTACATGTTTAACAAATCCTAATATGATGAACTTTGGTATCTAACCTTTCAATGGGCCCTGTTGATGCAGGATGTGGATGAGAAACTCTTGTATGATACGTTTAGTGCCTTTGGAGTAATTGTTACTAATCCCAAGGTTATTCTCTTTAAATCTTTCATTATTTTATTGCATCACATTTGTGTCATTTTAGAAAGTATATCCAACGACTAGCATTTACTTACTGTGCTTCTTCCTTTTCCTATGGTTCGTCGTTGTAACACTAACGTTTGTATATTTAGAAAATTTTGTAGCAAACCAGGCTGCCTCCGCGGTCAACCTCGGCTTGTTAGAACTTTCTTCCACTTAACTTTAAAAAAACAAATATTAGTGTTGGGGTTGATAATAACCATCTATTCCCTTTCTTATTCTCTGAGAACTGCTTCTATCTCTTTTTGTCTTCTATTTAGATATGCCACCCTTTGATGTCTGGATATTTTCGTTGTCATGGGATGCAACAACCTATGTAGTGTTGTGTGCAATATGAAGTACTTGCTTTTGATGAGTCTCAAACACATATTGGATGTGATTCCAGCACCATTTGTGAAGTATTAATGCTTCAGAGTGCTGTACCACTGTATCCTCATATAGGTCATGTAATTGCTTATTGAACTCTTGGTGGCTTTATGATATGTAGAATGAAATGGAATAGAATAGAAAGTATAATGAATAATGTAATTTTGTAGATAAAAAAACAATATCTTCTGTACTTGTGAACAAAAATAATTTAAAAATGGCTATTTTTTAGTATTGATAATAGATATTGCAATAAAAATGATTCCTTCCACTATGCTCTCCACAAATGGGCCATTTGTGTTGAGTGATATTTAGGGGTTAGAGCCTTATCAGACGGGCATGGTTTTTACTCTGCAAGATTAACTGCACATTTCGCTTGGAAATTTTCAACTTTCCGTTGTAGTTGACATGTATTTGTTTAAATTTTGTTACGGTTTCAAATTTTTGATTTGATGCATGGTATACTTTGCACATCATTTAACTGTGAGCAATCTCCATCCTTAGAGAGGGAGTTTACAAGAAATGAGCATATGATGTGATGATGCCTAGGGTTCCCATTGCAGATCATGAGAGATCCTGAAACAGGAAATTCCCGTGGATTTGGTTTCATTAGCTACGATTCATTTGAGGCATCTGATTCAGCTATTGAGGTATGCCATTGTTGATTGATGATACTTCTGCATATTTGTCTCTGGTTTGATAATTGTTTAAAGAATGAACCACTCCTTTCATAAATTTTTGTTCCTGCTTAAACATAATTGTGTACAGTTTCAGTTTTATTTTGATGTGGCTAGCAACAGTCTACCTTTTATTTTATATGCCTGTAGTTCGTTTTGTATTTTTGCTATCACATTGCAGGTTACAAAATGTTAAATACTGTGTTGACTATGGAATATTGGATAGGGTAACTTGTATACTTTGCCTTGTATATTTTAGGTAAGGTTCTTCAGTCAAAATTTGACACTTGGACATTTGAAAAACGTACCATCTTAGACATTATTATGTAACTAACTGCGTTAGCTTACCTTTAAAAAGATAATAATTCTAAAAATCCCAGTTGCTTCCCTTTATCATCATAGTCGAGTATAGAGTTGCAGTCTCTGCATATTTGCTGGAATAAAAAAGGAAAAAAAAAAAAAGCCTCTGCTAAATACTATCTTCCTCTTCCATTGGCTTGGTTTCTCATGGAGAGGCTATCAATGTAGTTCACCCTTTTATTCCCTGATGGGCTTAACTCTTCAAACCTAGATCCCTAATCCTCATCTCCCCTTTTTTCTTTCACCACTTCAACTGCGCAATCTTCATCCCTCTTCGCCTTAACCACTCAAGTTAGGGGGGTTTGGTTGCCCGCTTTTGGTACCCCAAAAGTCCTTTTGATAAACTAACTTCCACTCCAACCTTTGTCTGGATAGAAATTTTCTCTTTCTTTCTTGTTTGAAAACTTAAAAAGCCATGGAAAAATTAGTTTAGAAAACGCAAGTGAGAGCTGCTTCCACTGTTTTGAATGTCAGTTTGGCAAATTTACTTTTACAAACTGTAAGACAAACATATTTAATCATATAATTCTTGTTTATTTTCCAAAGCATGTTGAATTCCACAATTCATGTAGCACATTAAACCAAAATTTATTGTTAGAATCTGAAATTGTCCCTCTTTTCCTCACAAATGATCTCCTCATGCTTTGAAGGATAAGGATATATCGTTGCTACTCTTATATGATGATGACTGAAACAATAACAAAATATGAATGCTGCAACTCTATTCGACTTTGGGCATTAGGGTAGGGAGAGTTGATTTTGAGGTTAGGATTCTTAGAGAGTTTTTTCACGGTGATCTAACACTATTGGTATATGTTAATACTTAGTGTGTTAAGAAAAAGTACATATGTCAAGTTTTGATCGGGGAGCCTTACCTATTAGCATGCAACTTTTCTACTATTGATGCTTACCTACGTTACTAATATCTGATTTTTTCTACCTTAGGCAATGAATGGACAATATCTTTGCAATCGTCAAATAACAGTGTCTTATGCATACAAGAAAGACACCAAAGGGGAAAGGCACGGCACTCCAGCAGGTGATCCTTTTACCTGCACAGATCTTTATCTTCTGTTGAATTATCTTCTTATGGGTTTTGTGATGCAGAAAGAGTTCTGGCTGCCAGCAATCCAAGCGCCCAGAAAAGCAGGCCTCACACTTTGTTTGCCAGCGGACCTCCAACACTGCCCAATGTTCCTCAGGCTAATGGTGCCATCGCTGCTCAGCCTCCTCGTCCCTATGCTAATGGAGTTGCTCCCCCTGCTATTCCCGCTCTTCGACCGCCACCTCCTCAAGCTGCACCATTTCCACCTATGCCAGTAGCCCCTCAACAAGCATGGCATCAGCAGCAACCAGGTCAATCAATTCCACCGCCTGTAATGCCTCCGCCTCCAATCCAGCAGCAGTTCAGGCCACCTCACTCGAGTATGCCGCCCCCTCCTCCTCCGCAAGCCATACCAGCTCCCCCAAGGCCTCTTCCACCACCAGCTGCAATGACAGGCCAGCAACCTGTTTGGCGTCCACCGCCGCCTCCTCCACCACAGCAACAGGGCATGCGGCCCCCTTCATTTCCTCAATCCTCCATGCAGCCGCCGCCTCCTCCGAGTTGAAGAGATTCTGCCCTTCGGGAATTCTCATTCTATTGGTTTGGAAGTTCTCCTTCTAGATTTATTAGTTGTAGGATGTTATGTTCCTCGACTACTGCGGGGAAGAATGATCGCACAATAGAAGACAGTATGATTTTTGGTTTATTACATATAATATAATGTATTTCTCATGCTTCGGTTTCAAATCTACATAGTTTGTCGCTGAAAATTTTGAGTCATAGCTCATTAGATTCAGGCTTGTTTATGGGATGACTAGAGATGGAAATAGGCTGGGTAGGTTTTAGTTAAGTAGGCTCAGATATTTAAAGCCTAAGCCTGCGAATAGTTTTTTTTAAAGGTTTGAGCTTGAGCAAGCTTGCGAAAGATTTTACAAGCCCTATATTTAAAATGTATGTTTTTTTTTTTACCAACGGGGGTTGGTTCAAGTGGTAAGCGGCTTGGTACCGCTTAAGCGAGGTCTCGAGTTCGAGCCTCAGCGTATGCAGAAATCCCCGTTGGGAGACTTACCCACCACAGCCAAGTACGCGACACGGGTCGAATCCAGATGTAGTCGGAGTAAAGCTCCGGTGAACTGGGTGGGCAACCAAAAAAAAAAATGTACGTTTTTTAAATGGGCTTAAAAAAGTCTATCCTCCAAGTTCATGTATAATCTTTTGAAACTATTTAAAAGCTTATATTATGTTTTAAAGTGTTTAGAATTTATTTTCACTTGCAATATAAGGGATTAGAAGGAAAAGAAAAGAATGTATAGTAATAATATTTTTTTGAACACGTAAGAATAAAAAAATCTAGTATTTATTGACTAAACTGTTATATTTTCTAAAATCAACTAATCATAACAAGTGGTATGTACATCTATGTTTACCTCTTGGTTTTTTCACAAAAATGTGGCAAATTCTTTCTATTACAATTATAATATTTTATTTAAACACCACTAAAATAAACTCACAATAGTTGTTATGTTTTAGCACACAGTACAAGTTAGGAAAGAAGCGGGTGTTGTCATCTTGAGCAATTAAAAAGAAGAGAGGTAGAGGTGATCATAAATGGAATGGTTGATCTTATATGTTAATATTGTTATCTCAAACTTACGATCAAGCCAAAGTTAGTAATTGATAAAATTAACTTAGGGCCTATTTGGATGACAGAGCAAACTATGGTTTGGAAAGCAAAACCATGATTTGCATAAAATGTCATCCAAACAGGCTTAAAAATTCCCAAACCGTGGTTCCAGGTGAAATCATGGTTTTATCAGAAGCAGAAATTTGTCGGTTTTGGGTAGAAAAATTTGAGTGAGGTGGAGTGATAATTAGAGGCAATAGTCATTGACCAAAAACACCCTTCTTCCTTCACTTTGCTGGCCGACACTTTGGAGTGATTATTCTCTTTTTCACCCAGCTCAAATCTGACCAATATTTAGCTCGCCTCTTCGCCCTTTCTTCATTCAAAATCTATATTATTTAATATTATGTTTTATAAATATATATATATATATACATATTAATTATTTATTAATTATATTATTAATTATGTTAGTAAAAATTATTTTATTAACAATTTTATTTTTTTCAAGTCAAAATATATTATAAAATCTATCCCTTATATAATTATCATATTAACTTATACCCTTTTTAATAATTTACACATGTAAAAAATACTTCTGATAACAACTATCCAAACACTCTTAATTCTCAAAATTACTTTTTCACAAAATCTATTTTTCACCAAATCTATCCTCCTCAAAATCTATTCTCCAAAAGCTATTCTTCAAACTATGGTTTGGTTTCATCAAAACACCCCCTTAGATCTATATATACAATAAATAAAAATCAAAGCCAAGCTGAACCATTTTCTTATTCATAATGGCTCCTCACTCATTTTACTGTGCTATGAATAGTAACAGCTCTGTGAACAGTACCCGCTCATGCATGGGGCTTCGTGATCTTTTATTATGAGATTGCTTGGATCTGTAAGATGAGCTTTTTCCATTTTTAATTTTCTCTCTCCTGTTGGCTAAGAAAGTGCAAATATTGTTCACATCTATCATATTTTCGGCCTCCGTGAAGAGCGTTTCAGCTTCCTTTCTTTTTTACTTTGCTTGGGTGTCAGGCTGCTAGTTTCTTGTATACTCATTACACGTCTACACCTACTCCACTTTAAATTTAAAATTCAAATGTTATTTGTTTCCTTTCCCTCTTATTTTCTTATTTTCTTCACCAAACCTGACAAGGGAGAAGGAAAGAAGGGAGGAAATTTTCTACATAAGTAATATTTTCTGCATAGATGGGAAAGGATTTCACATAAAACCTTCTCCCTCACATCACTGGAAAAGAGGAGAATTAGTGGTTGTGCCTAGCTCCTTCTTTCAATCCAAGGATGAGAAGAGGCCCAGAATTAGGATTGAGAGAGAGATCTCTTTTCTTCTTACACATCAGTTGTGCATCTCTACTCTCCCTAGGCTTCTCTTCATCTCTTTCTCTCTCACTATTGCTTTATTGTCTCTTCTTGTGGAATCAGTTATAGATGGAAAACATGAGGGTGGTCTTAGATGAGAAGCAGAAAAGGCAAGCCAAGAGGATTGTAGAGGCAATTGAAGTGGGGATGATGAAGAGGTTGAGGATGAAGGGAGAAGAGACAGCCAAGATTGGGAAATTGAACTGGACTCTGGAAGAGAAGTTGAAGTCCCTCTATGTGAGAATCAAATATGGCTGTCAATGAAAAGGAGTCCCATGTAAATAGAGTCTTATTGGGTGAATAAAAGATTATTGAGTGAATGTAATAATTTGCTGTCAATGAAAAGGAGTCCCATGTAAATAGAGTCTTATTGGGTGAATGAAGATGAAGATTATTTTGATGGATGCATATTTTGTTGCTTTTTGTGACTACCTGAAGCTGAATGATTGCTCGCCTACGGGATGCTTTGTTTCTCATTCACATCCCTTTGTGTATCATCGGTTCAATTTTAATGTTCTGTTTGTGGTTGGATTTGAGTCTAAAATAAGATGGTAGTCAGGCCTGCCAAAGCTGCATTGAGTGAAAAACTTACTGAAGCTGATTTTAATTTGTGGTTGGTAAATGTGCACCATTATTTTTTGATTCATGTGTTTCTTAAAGTTGGTTATTGGACTTTTTATTTTTTGCAAATTGCACTCTACCAACTCAGCAGCTTTGCCATTGAATAAGGAACAAGGAAGCTGAACAATGAGGTGGTTTTACACAATGGTAAAAACTGTTCTAGACTAGCAACCTTTTATGTTTTTGAAAAATTATGCACAATCCACACGCATGGTGCAATTTGGACTATGAAATGGTGCATGTTTTTTCTTGGTTAACTTACCTGAATTATGTTTCATAAAAAAAAGGACTTATATGAATTTAACTTACACTCATTTGGTTTTTTCTTGTTTGTGCATTTTTTGTGTATTGTTACTTTGTTAAATCTAAAACATAATATCATATCTCACCCATGTTTATATTTTCTAAGATATACTTGGTGAATAATGTTTACATTAATTGTATATAAATTATATGCAATTTTGTTTTGCTAAAGTTTATTTACATTTATTTAGAATTACTGATTTTGTTAGAGTTGTTTTAAATTTGTTTATGATTATTGATTTTAGTAATGTTACTGCATGCGCGGGGCAAATGCTAGTGATATTATATATGATAACACAACTTAAAAAAAAAAAAAACTAAAAAGACCAGGCTTGTAAACTAAGTTTTAAGTAAGCTACGTCGAAGCTTCTTATATCACAGGCGAAGGAAAAAAATCTAATTATAATGATTTTTGAAAATATATAGATGTAAACATTCAATTTTATCTGAGCTCATAAAAAATATTAAATGAAATAAATAAAAAAGGGATAAGGTTTATTTTTGTCCCAGAAACATTCAATTAATAGTATCATGTATCCTAAAGTATTTTTTGAAGTAATATCGTCTGAGGTGCGACAAAAACGTAGCAATGTGAGGTCAATGTTTGTTGACCAAATTATGTTTAAATAGCAATGCCACGGGGCAACCACCTCATCTTCTCTTTCCAAGTTGGATTAAGAAGCAAGAAAAAAATTTAAAAAATAATGATGCTCCTGGTCTTTATTCCACGGAAGAAAATTCAAGAAATCAACTTTTGCCTTACCAGCGACAAAAATGGCAGGGACAAAAGCCCCCCAAAAAATCAAAATGGAAATGAAACTGAAGAAGGTGATGGCCAAATCGAAGAAAGCGGGAGGAGATGCTGAGTTGCTAGTGACGGCAGGAGGCAATAATGAGCAAAGTTTCATTCTTCTTCTTCCTCCTTCCTCAGCCCTGTTCATGGAATGGACTCACCTGCAATGAAATCGAAAGCCCAAGTGCCATGCTGCGATTGACTTCCTTGGTTCTTCCTAACAGCCAGCTTCTGGGTTCGATTTCAGAAGAACTATGAAACATCCCATAGCTTCGACGTCTCGATCTATCCACACATTTTCTCCATGGCTCTTTACCCAGTTCTATTTTCAACTCTCCCAAGTTTCAGGTTCTCTCACTAGCCAACAGTGCCATCTCCCGTGAGCTGAGTTGATTGGCTAACTGAAAAATCTCACTCCTTTTCTTCAATTTTTTTATGCCGACAAATCTGAGTGTAATTGTTGCTCTGGTACTTGGTTTAAATTTTTTTTTTTCCTCGATTGCTATGGGGTTTCAATCTGAACCGGGTGATCCTTTGTTTGTTCCCCCCCCCCCCCAGATTGAGTTTTATATTTCCAGTGGTTTGAAGTTTAACAACTACCAAAAAAAATGAAAATCGTTGATTTGGAAAGAAAGATGAAAGCCGAAGCTGTTTCGCCTGAAGCATCTGAGTGTGGTAATGACTTATTCAACAAAAGCTAAATGGATTGGGTAGAGCAAAGCAGGGGGAAAAAAGAGAGAGGTATTAAATAATCGGTAATGGAAGTTTCAGGAATGAAGCATATTAAAATCAGAATCATCTCCTTGATGGGCGATTGTGGGCGATGATAAAGGGGAAGATGTTTGTTTTTTTCTGCAGATTGTTCTTCTTTCCCTTGCATTGATTGATTCTTATCTAGTTTTGGGTTTTCTTGTTCATGGATCGATGATGATGAAGGGGGAGGGAGAGGTTTCTTTTTATTTTATTTTCTTTCTTTTTCGGTGAGGGTGATGATGATGTGGCTTAATATAATGT